ATCATCATGATCATCAACATCATCATCATCATCATCAGCATCAGCATCATCATCATCATCATCTTCAGCATCGACCTCACCATAAGCGAAATCATCATCAGCAGCATCGTCATCAGCAGCATCATCACAACCACCATCATCATGAGCATCATCATCAGCATCATCAGCATCATCCTCATCATCGGCACCAGCTTCAGCATAATCAGCATCAGCATCAGCATCATCATCAACACCCTCATGATCACCATCATCATCAGCATCATCCTCATCATCACCATCACAATCAGTATCCACATCATGAGCAGCATCATCATAAGAAGCATTCACATCATCACCAGCAACATCACCATAGTCTTCATCATCATCATCATCCTCATCACCATCGGCAACATCATCATCAGCAGCATCATCATCAGCATGTTCATCATCATTACCGCCAGCACCATCACAATCACCATCATCAGCATCATGATCGTTATCACCAGCACTGTCATCATATTCATTATCATCACCACAACCACCATCACCGTCATCAGCATTATCATCACCATCGACATCAGCCTCATCATCAGCAGCACCATCCTCATCATAATCAGCATCAGCACCAGCATCAGCATCAGAAACATCATCCTCATGACCATCAGCAGCATCAGTTTCAGCATCATACTCAGAATCACCAGCTTCAAACTCATCAGCACCAGCATCATCAAACTTAACATCAAAATTATCGCCAGCATCACCATCATCAGCACCATCATCATCACCGTGATCAATATTATTACCAGTGTCGCCATCACCATAACCATCATCAACATCATCATCGTCATCGCCATCACCGTCATAATAACCGTCATTATTAGCAGCATTAGCATCATCATCACCAGCATCAGCATCATCATCGTCAGCAGCATCAGCACCAGCATCAGCATCAGCATCATCGTCATCATCAGCATCAGCATCATCATTATCAGCATCATCAGCAGCATCATCCTAATCATCAGGATCATCCTCAGCATCAGCATCATCATCATCACCATCATCACCGTCATCATCAACAGCATCCGTATCATCGACATCATCGGCAGCAACATCATCATCAGCATCAGTATAAACATCAGCATCAGCATCAGCGTCATCATCGTCAGCAGCATCAGCATCAGCATCAGCATCGGCATCATCGCCATCATCAGCATCAGCATCAGCGTCATCAGCATCATCATCAGCATCAGCATCATCCTAACCATCAGCATCACCCTCAGCATCAGCATCATAATCAGTATCAGCATGATCATCACCATCATCAACAGCAAGCATCATCAGCAGCATCATCATCAGCAGCATCATAATCAGCATCATCATCAGCATCAGGATCATCGTCATCATCGTCATCAGAATCATCAGCATCGTGATCATCATCGTTCTCATCATCATCAGCATCGTCAGCATCACCATCATAATCAGAATCATCATCATCAGCATCATCCTCATCAGCATCATTCTCACCCTCATCCTCGTCGTCCTCATCTCCACAATCGTCCTCATCTCCGCAACCACCTTGATTGGCCATCACCACCACCGCGACGCACGGCCCTCCGCGCCCCCCCCGTCTAGTCCCACGTCTTACCCAGCAATCGGTTCGGGCGGGCGCTCGCTGCGACTGCTGGGGTGTGGGGGGCGCATGCCCGAGAGCGGCGGAACGTCGCTTTTTGATTTCGGCGGAGGCCATGGCGACCCCACCTCCGAAGCACAGAGGAAGGAGTTCTCGATGGTCGAGCGCAGGGGCCGGGGCCTGAATGCACCACGAGCGCTGACAGGGAGGACAACAGAAGGACGACGACAACGACGACGAAGAGGAGTGATCACGACAACGACGATAAAACAGGGCGGGCCAGGCCCGTAACGAAACCGAGCGCAGCGGAGCGTCGCACCCCTCATGTTTCGCACGAGGCGGGCGCCTTCCACGGACCACCTCACCGCTCCTCGCTGGGCCCACCCTCGGCCAAGGATCGGTGCACACGCCCTCCTGCCTCGGCCACGGAGGCGCGCAGACACCGACCCTTGGCCTGAGGATCGGCCTGGCCAGGATCGGTGAGGTCGAGGTAGAACGCTAGGGGGGTGGGTGGGGGCGTTTTCGTCGCGCCTCGGCGGTTTTCCAGCCTCGGGATGCTCTCCAGCAGCTGCGCCTCGCCGAGAGCGTTCCGGAGGTGCCCAGATGGTGCCGAACTGCCGCTGGAGACCCGAGTTATGACCCGAAAACCAAGACGACGAGGATCACTTGGGGGTACAGGCTCAGGGAGGAAACATCGAAAATCGGTCTTAGGCACCCGAGAGCGCATCCGCAAGTTCCTGAGCGGGGTGTGCTATCAGGCCCTTACTTCGGCGATGGATGCGCGAGTGGGGTTTGGTGCATCCACCCCTGAGCCTATCACACCTAACGTTGCCCCTGAGAGGTGCTCCGGTGGCGTCCTCCGAATGAGGGAGACGGGTCCTAAGGGAAACAGGTCCTGCAGTTGTTCGGCCACTTCCAGGCTCCTCTGGGACCCTGCCTGGGCCTCGGGGATGAAGAGCTGGTCCTGGGGAGAGCTCCGGAGTGTAGGACCCGCTTGCCTCTGGACCACCTTTCCTTCCTGGCCACCTGTCCCTGGAGGTCCCCAGAAGTCAAGAACATGCAAAACCTCGAAACTCGATCCTCTTTGCTGGAGCAGAGTTCTCGCTCGTCCCTCGAGGAGCAGATGCGAAGCGAGCTCTTGGAGCAGCTCGTCCACGACGACGCCATCGCCTCTGAACCTTCTGCGCGTTTCTGGAGGTTCTCGTCGCCACTGCTCGACGAAGCTCCGACAACTTGCGGCGCCGCATTCTGAACGTGAGGAGGCGGAGGAGGAGGAGGCGGAGGAGAAGGAGGAGGAAGGGAGGAGGAGGACGAGGAGGAGGAGGAGGGAGGAGGAGGAGGGAGGAGGGAGGAGGAGGAGGGAGGAACACTCTGGAACGTACCCCGAAGAAAACACGCGTCTCACAGCAGCGCCGATAGGGGACTGCACCGGCACACTGCAAGTGCCAGTGTCGAGCGGGCCCGTGCATAATATGCTTCGATCGGCGCGCCTCGGCGGGCGTCCTCCCCTCGTGGCCTTCTGGAAGCAGGTCCTGAGAGGCGCCGAGGCGGGACAGAGCCCCAGCCTCATGTTGCTCCCATCGTACATAAGGACCACACCCCAGAAATAATGTCGAGCACCCGGAGAAGTGTCGAAAGAGTGTCGAAGCAGTGTCGAAACAGTGTCGGACGAGTGTCTCCCAGGGCCCGACACGTGAAAACCCTCCGTACTTTCCTGGTGCTCGAGATTCTTTCTGGTGGTCAAGGCTAAAGTAGGTTGGAACATCATAACCCCAGCCCCGATTTCCAAGGCTCGACGTGCATGCGAATGTGAACATTGGCATCGGGGGCACGGGGGACGACGTCGCTCCTTCTCCTGAATCTCTTGGGCAGGCGGCTGCTGTTCCGAACTTGCTTCGTCGGCGGCGAGGCAGAGGCAACGCGCTCCAGCGTGTGACCCTCCGGGCCAACCGAACGGCGAGCTGTCGGGCGTGCAGGAGGGAGAAACAAAAACGACGAGGCGGCCGCGCTAAGGGCCTCTTGCTCCGCACACTCCGGCCAGAGCACGGCAACCAGACCAGGCAGCGATGGCACTGGTTTTTGAATTCAAAAACCAATGTTCCAAATTCGAAAACCGCCTTTTGAACTCGAAGGCAAGATTTTTGAAGTCAACCACCAGTTTTTTGAATCCAGAGGCCCGTGTCTTGGAGCTCGTGGGATGCTTGTACCAGGATAACCCGAGCTGGCATTATCAGCCGCTGGGTAATATCAAAACAAGGATGCCGCCACACAGTGCCTTTGGGATGTGTGGCCCGAATTGAGGCTCAGAAACCATCATGGCAAGCTGTCAACACCGTGCACGGCTGTGGCTTTCAGCCTGCCCGACGTGGCTTGCCGGCGGCACGACGACGGGCGCCTCGGAGGCTGCGGTCCCGGGCCGGAGCTCGGCCGTGGGACCCGAGGGCCTCCGGGGCCCGGGGTGCCACCGCCCGCGAGAGGCGCTGTCCAGTGCCTCCCGCGAGGTGCAGGAGGCACATGCGACGAGAGAGATCTGTCCACATGTATAGAGGGCAAAAACATCCACCCCCCATGATAACTAACCACCCCGACACGCGAAGCCGTTCACCAAGCGCCCCCCCTGAAGGAATCGAACAGGGCAGGGCTGTCTAGTAGACGCCCAGGGCCGTTTAGTGAGCGCCAATTGCCCGGTCCGGGTGGCGTTCCCCCCCTTGAACATACGACGTGCGACCAATTCCGAAAGAACCATGCGTCCCGAAACGTTGTCATCATTTGAAGGGCCGCTTCCTTCTTCCGCCGTCCTCCGGCGAGGATGAGATGTCGACTCCTGCGATCCTCAGAACGGGAGGCCCTTTCCGGAGCGCCCCTTGTAAGGCATATCCTCCGTCGACCTCGAGCTGCCTAGGCAACCCAACGTCGCGCATCGCGCGCCGCGATGCGTGACGCGCGATTCTCCTCGCGTAGCCTCGCGCCCTCGCGCCGCCCCCTTGGAGAAGGGCAACCGCTCTGGCCCAGACCGCGACGCGCGAAGCGGGGTTCTCCCCGCGCCCCAGCGGTTAAGCCAGGCCCTGCAAGGTGTCCCAGGGGTCTCGGGATGATCGGGGGAAACGAAGTTATCGCTATCGTGGGCCCAATCGTTTTACTTTGTGTGCCTACTGCAGGCCGCCGCCCAGAGGCCAGGATGCAACACACGAGAACTGGCACTGTGCGGCGGTACGCACAGATCATGTGCTCCAGCGGAGCTCGCCAGGGATAGAGGAAAAAGAAAGTAGCACTCGATTCTACCGCGCGAGCGTGCACCGCAACCGAGCGCTCTTTCCAGTGTTTGTGGGCTCTGTCTGTCAGGCTCGCCAGCGACCGACGCAAGCCCCCCCTGGGCACAGGCACCCCGTACCTCGAAGAAGCTGTTGGTAGCGTAGCAGATGCACGTGTTGTACATGGCGCATGACCTCGGATCTGTCCCAGGCCCTCTTGCCCGACCCCAGCTTCCATAGGAATCGGCACAGGAAAGACTCCCGACCCCCGACCCCCGACCCCACATTCTCCAGCCCCACCTGGGCGGCCAATCCGTGGAGGTCCTCCGATGTCTCCGAAGGGGAACTCCTCGGGGGCCTAAGGGGGAGGACAACGATTCATGATTTTGCGTTTCGAGCTCCATTTTCCCGGAAAGGGCATAAGACCAGGGTTCTCTTTTAGTAGGTTTACCTCCGGGTTTGACTTAAGGTGGACCGGCGAATTTCTTCTGCGATAAATATCGAGGTCGAGGTGGGCCGGCTAATTAATTTTTGAGGATGTCTCGAGCGAAACGCTTGTTGTTCAGAATTCATTGAGGATGTCTCGAGCGACAGCCTTGTTTTGTGTTATAGATTGTCCTCTCCCGAGGACCTGAACTCAGAGGATCTCTCAAGTGAAATGCTTCTTTTCATGGCCCAGGTCTTGAGAATGTCTCGAGCGAGACGCTTGGTTTCACGCCTCCAGGTTGCCCAGACATATGTCTAGCATGAGGATTGGTTGAGGATGTCTCGAACGAGAGGCTTGTTTTCACGTGTCCAGGTCGCCCAGGCGGATGTCTAGCATGAGGATGTGTCGAGGAAGTCTCGATCGAGACGCTTGTTTTCACGTGTCCAGGTCGCCCAGGCGGATGTCTAGCATGAGGATGTGTCGAGGAAGCCTCGATCGAGACGCTTGTTCTCACGTGTCCAGGTCGCCCAGGCGGATGTCTAGCATGAGGATGTGCTGAGAACGTCATGAGCGAAACGCATGTTTTCACGTGTCCAGGTCGCCCAGGCACAGCACAGCCCTGGGCACGGTACATCAATACCGATACCCTTAACATTGCAGCCTGGCATGTTGCCTGGCACGTTCCGCGGAGCGTCCCGTGGCGAGTCCACCTGGCACGTCGCGCGGTGCACGCCATTTGCACGTTCCGTAGCGCGTCCCCTTGGCACGTCCCGCGGTGCGTGCCCATGGCACGTCCCCTGGCACGTCGCCTGGCGCGTCCCTTGGGACGTTCCGCGGCGCGTCCTCCTGGCATGTCCCCCTGTCGATTGGTTCTTGGGCAGCTACCATCTGCTCAGGCAGCTCGAGCTTACGATCCAGATCAGTTCGGTCAGGACTCGATCCACAACGCTATATAGAGCACAATCGCGGCATGGCACATCGCAGTTCAGCACGGCCAGCACAGCGCAGCCGTCGGCATGGTACATCAAGATCGATACATTCAACATTGTATATTGACACGTTCCTTGGCGCGTTCCTTGGCGAGTCCACCTGGCACGTCGCACGGCGCGTCCCCTGGCACGGCCCGCGGCACGTCCATTGGCACGTTCCGTAGCGCGTCCCCTTGGCACGTCCCGCGGTGCGTGCCCATGGCACGTCCCCTGGCACGTCGCCTGGCGCGTCCCTTGGGACGTTCCGCGGCGCGTCCTCCTGGCATGTCCCCTCTGTCGATTGGCTCTTGGGCAGCTACCATCTGCTCAGGCAGCTCGAGCTTACGATCCAGATCAGTTCGGTCAGGACTCGGATGCCAGGGAGGACTCGATCCACAACGCTGTATATATATATATATAGAGCACAATCGCGGCATGCAACATCGCAGCTCAGCACGACGTAGCACAGCACAGCCCTCGGCACAGTACATCAAGATCGATACATTTCGATACATCCAGCATTGCATTTGCCCGTCGCCCAATCAAGTGTCTTTGAAACGTTGCCATGCCTTACATTTCTAGGTTCCTTTCCGGGTTCGTGGGTCGATCATGTTCCAAGCGTTTCCAAATCAGTTGGTTGCGCTGTTTAACGCTGTCGTCTACCACGTCGTCAGTTCCTTCTCTTCCGTTTGCAGAGCCACAGGGCCGTGCGTGCATCATGAAGACCTCCAGAGCTTAGCTGCCCCGACACGCAACACGCAGCCCGTATTTTGCTGATACGGATCTCAACACACAGGTTGACAACGTAGGTCTGGCGCGATATGTTCGCCAGAACGTGGACCAACAGGTGCCGATCCAACACGCAGCGTGTTCAACCGAGACGGCTTGAGAACGGCACGTGTTGCGTTTCAACAAGGGCGTAGCAGGGCAGCTAGGCTCCAGAGGCGTCTGGTTTGGGGTGTCCAGAGGCGCCCCGAGGAACAACGGCGAGATCCATAAGCGTCCAAAAACTTCGTGCCTCGGACCTCGATCCTCCACCTCAGGCTCCGCCCCAGGTAAATCTTCAAAAACATGCTCCACGCTGCCTGAGCATAGCCTCCACCCCGCCACGATACCTGCCCCGCCCGATGGCCCTTCGCCGACCCGCCCGCCGCGCCCAGCGAGCTCACCCCCAACACCCCGCGACGGACAACCGCTTCCTGCTGACGGTCGGGCCGCAAAAACCCGGGCCTCTGGCGCCCGGCTGGGACGATCCGGGCGCCCGCAGAGAAGCCCCTGCGGCAGCACCGCCGCGAAGCGACGGGCATCAAAAAAGCCCGAGCACCTCGAGCCGCGA